CGTTTTAGGTAGGTGTGGCTGACTCTTAACGTTTATAAAGAATATCTCTTTGGATTTGAGACTTTAGTGTTTGCAACTGTACAGATCTTCTTTATGCACCAAGAGCTTGTAACACTCCAAAGAGAAAGGAAAACTTGAAATCGCATCATATGACCCCTTTAAAAATCTTATGTTAAAAAAATCTTTAAAAACTCAAAAATCTTCAAGGGACTTCTTTAAGATGAAGTACAGGTAATGGTTATTATCAATAACTAAAACTAAATTTATTTTTTTTTAAAAGTTACTTAAAATAAATAAACTAACTGAAATATAATAAAATATTTAAAAATAAAATATCAAAATCAAGGCAACATTTCTTATTTAGTTTAAGTTAAAGGGCTAAAATAACTATGACAAAATTAACTAAAACTAAAACTTAATAAAACCAAGACATATTTTTAAAAAACAAAAGCTAAATAAAAAAAGCCAAAAACTCAAAACAAAATGACTAAATCTTAAAGGGTCTTCTTTAAGATAAAGAAGTACAGGCCATGGTTATTATCGATAACTAAAACTAAATCAATTTTTTTTTAAATCATTACCTAAAATAAAAACAAACATTAACTGAAATATAATAAAATCTTTAAAAGAATAAGAACAGATTTTGGACAGTATGGGCAACATTTGCATGTTATAACAAAAGCAAAATAGACTTTACAGAAAATACCCAAACATACCATGTTAATAATCATTTTGGACAACTTTATTTTACAACTTCAGTAGTTTTTGTCTTGAATATATAGCTTGAAGATGCTAAATAATACTAATTTATTTAATGTCTTATTTAAATGTCTTTTATTTATGTTTTCTCAAAGTTTAGTAGAAGGGAAGTAGTTTAGAAGTTGCCAGCTCTGGAAAATCAAATTCTTTGCCTGTAGTACTTCATACTAAGATGAGGATTGCATTTAAAATAGTTTTTAAAGGCAAAAACAACCTATGCTGCGACACATTGCGAGTGGCATCCCAATATGTTAGAACTAATGGTGTGCTTACGTTATTGTGGTGGTAACGAACCTCAAGGGGCCGTTAGAGTCTCATTGGTCCAGAGATGTGCTTCAAACCGTAGTCGCTTTGATTTGTAGTTTGTTCAAGTATCTGTGGATATTAATCAGAGTCTGTCTGAGAACAGTAACCAAATTAATCATAACTGACCGTAGAAGACACCAGTGTTTTCTGTTTGCCTCCTCTATATTATACTGTTTGTATTTGGTGTAGATTACTAAAACTTAGTTTAGTCACACTATGAAACCTGCGTATATAACGTTTTGTAAAGATATGCATAATACCTTATAATCAGTTTTGCTCTCCTAAATACCTTTAACCACTTTTATGATGCAATATAATACATACTTATCCATGGTTATATCTTTAAAATATATAATGCATCAGAACTCTATAAATGAATTAAGCATTCTATTCTTTAAAGATATTATGTAAGTGTTGAAATGCATTATAAGGTTACTATTATTTATGAAAAGTTACTATTATTATTTAATGATTTATTTAATTATTATTTATTTAATTATTTTATAATTAAATTTTTTTTTAAATTATTAACAATTATTTTAAAATTATTTTATTATGTGTTAAACAGATTTCATAAAAAGCATCATTTTTTATTCTTGCACATATATTTTTCAGATGTGTGAGGTTCACTTAATGTGGGACCTTATCGTAGTATGTAATTATTGCCATTGTTTTGACATGATACATAAAACCACATTATATTAGATTACATTAATACTGAAATTAATCCTTGCTTCAGAAATCTAATTATCCCACACAGAATTGCGCATTTGCATGGCTGTTATTGAATTTAATGGCATGCATTATTCAGGCCTTCTTATTTATTTCAGGTTAATTAAATTAAAAGTCTTGTTTCCCAGTTTGTCATCTGCTGTTGCTTCGAGCGTACGGATGACTTGTTCTGGTGTGTGTGTGTGTGTGTGTGTGTGTTTGTGTGTGTGTGTGTGTGTGTGTGTGCATGTGTGCATGTGTGTCTGTGTGTGTGTCTGTGTGTGTGTGTATCCCATCTGAAGGGCCTTATTCTCAGTCTGTCTGTTATGAAAGTTAAAAATATGCCAGAGGGAAGCATCTTCTCTCTCTGTGGTTCTCATTGTCTTGGCTCCTTTCAGCATGTCAGATTGTCTCCCAAATATAATAGTTAACGACAATTACTGTAATTAACTCTAATTTATAAAACATATATTTCTGGCTGTAGATTCTGATTGGATGAGTCATATTCAAAGCCACTATAAAATAGCAGATATAAACACTTGTGTGCTCAGTTGGATGTCCATATATCTGTACCACGGTATTTACATGGTACTCCAAAGAACTTCAAAGATTAACATGTTCAAAAAGATGTACTTTTTGGATAGTTAATGCTAATGTTCTATATTACTTGCTGCAATAATTGTGTGTGTTTTCATATGATTATGAATAATTCTGTTTATTTACTTATTTATTGATTTATTGATTTATTATTTTACAAATGCAATAAGCTATATCAGGGTTTTTTAATCTTTTAGATGCCATCAACCCCCAAATAGGATCCATTTAAAAGGCAGCTATATATTTTCATGTATAAAAATCTTAATTAATACTGTAAAACATAAGTATTATAAATATGTATAATATATTATTTTTGAAATATTTTGTTTATATTATGCTACATCATTGTTTATTTCTACTCACAATAGTATTGTACTGTTAGATGTATTTATATTTATTACTATCTGTTACTATTTACTATTTATTAGTATTTATTATTTACTTAAATCAATTTTTATTTATTCATTTTTATCAATTTATTAATTTAAATGCATTTGTTTGTTTATTTAAATACAGTTTTATTTAATTATGCTTTAATCATTGAATCAATATTTGTTTTTATTTATTTTAATCAAATGTTTATTTATAATTTATTTAAAATCATTTATTTATTTTATTTTAATCAAGTTTATTAATTTATTGCTTATTTGTGTAAATCACATTTTATGTTAATCAAATTTATTAGATAGCTACTTTAACTTTATTTTTATTATTTATTTATTTTTACTTTTTTATATAGTTTTTCACTCAATTTTTCCCATGCAATTTTTCCAAATATTTCTATTCGATTTTACTGTGGCTGTTTTTAGAATACAGTATAATGTTATTTTTGAATAATGCATGGATGTTTTATGCAATTTTGCCTTCAGACTTGCCTCTGGACGATAAAACTACTGCAAAAAATCCCACAGACACACACTTGAAGAAGGGATCTGAGTCATTTAGGGACCAAAAACCACCTAGCAACCACCCAGAGCACCTTAGCGACCACATATCAACAGCCTGGCACAGTAACACTCAGTATTTCCTTTAGAAAATGTAAAAGTCTTGTCGCACACTGTTCTTATGGCAGTTACAGTAAGGTGAGTTTGTGAACACTGTTCAGTTATTCAGCATGTGTTTTCAGGTCTGAACTCCAAAGAGTCATGTGGGATTCACTCAAACACCCATTAGATCACATTTAATCAACTGTGTGAATTGAAAAGTGCTTTCACCAGCCCTTGAGAGTGTGTGTGTGTGTGTGTGTGTGTGTGTGTGTGTGTGTGTGTGGTTGTCCTGTACCTTACAGCGCTGTCATCTGCTGTGGGTACGTCCTGCCTGGTGAGCTGACTTTGCCTGTCTGACCTTTTTTGGTCGCTGGGATAATTGCATTTTATTGACGATGTCCTTGAACGGGGACGGGACATATTTGAGTGTTTTTGGATGCCGTGTGGATGGACACACACACACTCACCATTTATCAGACCTTTACTAACTGTGTGTTAGTAATTACTGACCACACACACACACACACACACATTCACTTTCTCTCTGAATATCACATTGGCTCTTACTAATCTTTGAAAGCCCTTGAAGCGAGCAGCAAACACAATGACAGTGAGTGTTTATTGGCGAAGAGGGTCATGATTTACAGTGGTGTTGATCACAGGGTTTAATCTGCTCTGATGCTTTTTCGCAGTATGTGACTCATTAAGATTTTTTTCTGAAGAAAATGTGAGTGGTGTTTGCTCATGCAAAACTCACAGCCATGAATCTAGCATTCTGCATGGTTGCTAGGGTGTTCGGAATAGTTGCTATGGTGTTCTGAGTGGTTACTAGGATGTTCTGAGTGGTTGTTAAGGTGTTCTGAATAGTTGCTAGGGTGTTCTGAATAGTTGCTAGGGTGTTCTGAGTGGTTACTAGGATGTTCTGAGTGGTTGTTAAGGCGTTCTGAATAGTTGCTACGGTGTTCTTAGTGGTTACTAGGATGTTCTGAGTGGTTGTTAAGGTGTTCTGAATAGTTGCTAGGGTGTTCTAGGTGGTTGCTAGGGTGTTCTGAGTGGTTACTAGGATGTTCTGAGTGGTTGTTAAGGTATTCTGAATAGTTGCTAGGGTGTTCTAGGTGGTTGCTAGGGTGTTCTCAATAGTTGCTAGGGTGTTCTGAGTGGTTACTAGGATGTTCTGAGTGATTGTTAAGGTGTTCTGAATAGTTGCTAGGGTGTTATGAGTTGTTACTAGGGTGTTCTGAATAGTCGCTAGGGTGATCTGGGTGGTTGCTAGGATGAGTAGTTGTTTGGGTATTCTTAATCTCAGGTTAAAAATCTCTGTAATATTCTGTTTTTAGGTGTGACTCTGCTCCCCTGTTTTATTGTCCAACAGGTGAAATGCGCGTCTAATGACCCAGTAAAGTAACAGCACACAGTTGCATTCGTGTCTGGAGCACAGAAGATTAACAGTGTTCACAGACCTCTTGACCAATGACTTCCCATTTCCATAATTTGTGATCACAGGACAAGTTTTTTAAAAATCATTTTATTGAGATTGCACTTAAAAAGAGCCCATTAAATCTTTTAGAGCTGAGCACAACATAAGATCTATTCAGACTGTATAAATTTCTGTGACTTCTTATGATTTTATTGTTATGCATTAATATTATCCTGGTATTTCAAGGTTTTCCATGGACTCTCTCTCTGTTTATCAGAACAACAGTTGCATTATTGTTTTTACAGTCGAGAGATCAGAGCATGTGTTATGTTTGCTGAACAATGAAATGAAAACAGGAACCTGATCAACAGAACTGATCTAATCAGATATTGAAGTTGTACTAACAAACTGTCAGGATGACCTGGATGGTGGGCATCGGCGGCGTCATCGAGGCCTTCATCATCGTGCTCATGTGCTGCTCCACGGTCAGTCACACCCCATGCAATAGAAATCGGAGATGACAATGGACTTAACTTTGATGAAAATGTCACAATTTGAAACATCTTAATGGTATTACAATTAAGGTTAATTTTTGTTTTTGCAAATCATAATTAATATAGTAATTAGTTATTTATTTTTATTAATATTTTAAATTAGCTTTTGTTTTTATAGTTTTAATTTTAATTTTGGTTTAATTATTAGTAAATTTGTTATGTGGCAATTTTTCTTTTTTATTAGTTGTTTTTTGTTTTGTCCCTAAAAAGTTTAATTTCTAAATAGTAAATTTTTTTCCAGTTTTAGTTTTCAGTTAGTAATTTCAACTTAAACTTAATTCATACGATATTAATTGTTATGCATAATAATTATTTTATGCACGAATTTGTAGTTTCTATTAGTTTTTTTAATATTTCTAAATAGTTTTCTAAATAGTTTTAGGATTTTTTCAGTATTAGTTAGTAATTGTAGTTAGTAATTTTTGTTTTATTTCAGTGTTTAGTACTTCAACTTCAACTTATTTTGGAATTTTGGGTTGTTTACATGTTTGTTTATTTTTTAGTTTATCATCTAATATTTATATTTATATTTTATTTCAGGTTTATGTGAATTATCAAACATTTTTTAATTGCTTTTGATACTGGGTTGCATTGTTCTTATAGGTTTAGTGAGATTCACTTTATATCTGAATATTTTCAGCCTTTATGAATCATTGCATTTACAGTGAATAATAAAGACATCATACTTCCACATGTACACAGCTGATGCAATCATCTAATTCCGTTGATTTTGAATTTGCATGTCCCACATTTGCATGCCATCACATTCTCAAAGACCCGCTGATTAACATGCATGTGTTTCCGCCGAATGCAGGCCTCCTGCTACACATATGTACGTGTCACCGAGCAAGCATGCACTTCAACATACATGCCCATTAATGTGATGTGTATGTTTGCATGTGCAACCTAGATTCTCCAGCGCCCGTGGTCATGGAAGTGCTATTTTTATCATGAGCTCAGAAATCTCACTATTTTCTATTTCTTCATCTCTCTTTCACTCGCTCTCATACATACACATGGTGGATTTGAGTTTAGAATAGCATACTACAATACTACTCTCGTAGAGTGAGATGCATTAAAATAGCCAAATTACACACTGAGGTTAAATCACATGCGGTTCTTAATGGAATATTTCACCCAAAAATGAAAATTTGCTGAAAACTTATTCACCCTCAGTCTATCCGAGATGTAAATGAGTTTGTTTCTTCATGAGACTTGAAGAAAAGTGTCATTCCATCACTTGCTCAGCAATGGATCCTCTGCAGTGAATGGGTGCCGTCAAAATGAGAGTCCAAACAGCTGATAAAAACATCACAATCCACAAGTAATCCACACCACTCCAGTCCAGCAATTAATGTCTTGTGAAGCCAAAAGCTGTGTGTTTGTGAGAAACAAATCCATCAAGACGTTTTTAGTTACATAACGCATCATGTTGAACATGATATTTTAAGAAGATGGTAATCAGCGTACAGCATATACTGTGCATTATGCAGTAATCCCATTAAAACGCAGCCATTGCCTCTTATTTTCTCTTTGACTCATAAGAAATGTACAGTATCTCTTGAGTGCACTTGTTTTCATCCCTATAAAGAACGCAGCATCTCCACGTTTCGATCCACTCCAGCTGTTTGTAGAGAAGCTCTTGTATCACTCTGGCGTGTTGTAGTTTAATCCGGTACAGATGCAGCCAAACAGAGATCTCAACAACACAACACATCCATTTATAAACCATCCGGATGCTTTCAGACAAAAACACTGCAGCTTAAAGCACATCATCTATATGTCGTCGTGCTACAGGTGATCACTGAACATAGAAATGCTGCTGGTTTTTAGGTCAGCATGCTGTTTTATCTGAGTACACAGTGTGTGCATTGACATGTGTAGTGTTTTCTGATTATGTCTAATAAGCTGACAGCAGTTAAGCTGATGGAAACTGTATTAATGATGCTTATAGAATGTGCTCATAAAATGTGCATCAATCTCTCTACATTTGATGTCAAGAGTGGAGAAGAATATGATTATTTCAGAAAGTTGCAAACACTATTTTCTTGTGTTGTTGAGTTTTTATTTTGATAGTATTAGCATTTCATTTTGCATGCGCACAAACTGATTCTAGAACAGCCTGTAGAGTCAGTAGTCATTTTAGGCCATCTTTCTTTTCTTGTGTCTCTCTAGTTGCTCTAGTCACATTTTTAGCCTTGTTTTGAAGGATTTCATAGCGTCAAGTGTGTTTGGAGCACAGAATACAAAAATAGCTGAATGAAAAAAAAAAAACAACAACATTGATCAGGTATATATTATATAGATAATGCACTGCATTATTTTCGTGACAATTAAGCATGTTTCCTCCCGGTTTTCATTGTGTAATTTGTCCAAATGTTTTACTTTTGAGTGTTTATATATGTAGGGCTCTCATTAGATTATCATTATTTTTATTTTAATTGTGGTAGTTGTTCAAAGGAAGCAAATTAATTGTCAGTGAAGATGTTTTAATAAGCATCAATTAAATGCAGTGCACTGCAACAAATGAAGAGTTAATTTGCGAAAGCAGATAACTAAATTTTTAACAATTTTCAAAAATCATGTTTTTTTTCATTGTGCATTCCAATTAAAATCAATCAAACTGCAGTTGGGTTATTTTGATGAGGTAAAAAAATAACAAAAAAAATACTAGCTAACTAACAATAAAAACATGATAACATAATTTAAAAAAAACATGATTTTTGAGAGTTGTCTGTTTTTGCAAATAAAGTCTTCAAATACTAGCATGATGTATAAATACATTATAATTGAAACTATTTAATCACAATTTTCACAATTTTACAGTAATTAAAACAGTAATGAGGTGGAAATGGGCTACGTTTTCATGAAAATGTCACAATTAAAAACATCTTAATGGTCTTAAAATTAGGCTTCATTTTTGTTTTGCAAAACATAATTAATATAGTAATTAGTTTCTTTCTTTTATTAATATTTTGAATTACTTTTCACTTTTATATTTTCAGTTTTTTATTTTAGTTTATTTTTTAGTCATTTTTATGTCCTTTTGTCCTTTGTTTTTTTTTTTTTGTTTTTTAATTCTACATTATTTTAATTTTTCATTTCAGTTTACTGTTTCAACTTCAAATTTCATGTTTATTATTATGTTTTCAATCTAATATATGTATTTTATTCCTTTTTTATTTTATACTTTAGTTAATAACGCCTAGTAATAACGCTACTAGGTTGCAGGTTTAGTGAGATTCACTCTTAACATGTTGAAAATCATAAAAGGCAACAGGCAGTTTAATTGACCGCAACATTAATTTAATGCATACATTAAACCCTGAGGTTTTCTCATTTAAAACCCAAGCACATTATGTGAAAAGCCACAGCCTTTAGAGACGCTCAAAGATAATGAAGGCTTTACAGAATCCTTCAAATCGAGGTTAAAGCGGCCTCAGAGACGTTTCTGCAGATGAAGCTACAATTGACGTTTGCCTGGTGCATCTCAATGACTTCCAGCCTTTGAAACTGCGTGTGTGATTTATCTGGCCGTCCACACCGTCAGCAGAATCGACAGCGGTCCAGGGTGGTGCGAGCGACACCTCAACATCCGCCTGCTCGTTCTGAATGAGCACATATATGCATCATAATTAGAAGTAACGAGACGCTATCAATGTCATCTGAAATTACCAGCTCATTGCCAGGCGCCCGTCGCTTGCTTTCCATCGCGTTCGGTCTCTCATGACAACAGATGGAGAGGAGGAGAGAACGCTGATTCTTTCATGCATCACAGAGATGGAGACGCCCGCCTCTTTAAGACAGACTGAAGCCGTTAGAAATGCAGAAATGAATCATTAAAGGACGCAAACAACAGCATTGATCCACTTTCAAATAGTCGGCAGGCACAGAAATATTGATAGGCGGATGGCAGACATTTATTTATGGATCGTGACGGTCGTGAAATGATCAAATTATTTGTGGGAATGCATTAATGCATGAATATGAGTTGACTGTTGTGTATTCAGTGATGTAGATGTAATCAAATTAACACTTAACACTGAGACAGTGGCTCCGGTCCAAAACCTAAAGAGAATTGGCCGAATTCTAAGGCAGGCAAGGCAATCCCAGAATGCATTGCTCAAGCTCCAAAAAATTGCAGCCAAAATGAGAGAAATGTTGATTATGCATACATTTACAGCCATTATGAGGTTCCACACTCAGATCGTTGTGCGAAAGGAAGATGCACTTCTCCATCTTTATTCTGGACTTCTGTTTCTGAGCTCGGCTGTATTAAATTCATTTTCTGATGTGTCATTTGATTATGTAAATGTATCCTCTCGAGAGGCCAAATATCGCCAGCACCAGTGAGGAGACACATACCTGAATTAAGATACTTACTGACAAATAAATAAAGTTTGTGTGTACAGTACCGTTTTAAAAGGTTTTTTTTTTAAGGAAATTAGTGCTTTCATTCAGCATGGATGCATTAACTTGATCAAAAAGGCATTTATAATGTTACAAGTTTTCTGTTTCAAATAAATGTGGTTCTTTTGAACTTTCTATTCATCCTGAAAAATAAAATTAATTGCAGTTTTCACAAAAATATGAAGCAGCACAACTGTTTTCAACATTGATAATAATCAGAAATGTTTCTTGAGCAGCAAATCAGCATATTAGAATGATTTCTGAAGGATCATGTGACACTGAAGACTGGAGTAAAGATGCTGAATATTCAGATTTGATCACAGGAATCAATTACATTTTACAATACAATATATTCAAATAGAAAATGGTTATTTTAAATTATAATAATAGTTCACATTATTACTGTTTTTACTGTATTTTTGGTCAAATAAATGCAGCCTTGGTGAACATAAACATTAAAAAAATCGTGTGCACCTCACACATTTAAAAACTGCTCAATCGACAT